TATTTTACACCTGATGATGGTTTTATAAAAACCGAAACATGTTGTGTAAATGTTCCGAAATGTAAATCGATCAATCGATATGGAACATGAATGATATTTTATTATCTTAATTATAAGAAATTTTAAATATTGTGATAAGACGGATTAAAATAAATAACTGTTATAATATTCACAATATGACTCAATTACAATATCTTCTGGGTCATTTAAATAAAGATGTATCCTTATTTATAAACTTTGCATGACAAAAATCGTGGTAATGCTGTCTTGTGTAATTAGTATTTTTTTTTTGTAATACTGTAGTAAACTGGAAATACCTGTCACAATTATGTATTTATATATTTTATTAGAAATAAGTATTGTATTTGTGGTATGATATGTTGTACATCTTTGGCTTACGCCTATGAAGGGTCTATGAAATATAAGTAAATTCTATTCGAAACTAGTTCACTCTGTACATCAAATACTACAAGGATCCGGCCTATTGACCCATTCCCAGACAGTTGCTCAAGGCAACTTGCCCTTATTAGTCTTGTATAGTGCATTTGAGTACAATTTCTAATCAACACTAATTTGTCTGCTAGAGCCAACTAGTAGAAAATCAGGAGAGACATGAGTGACAAACATGGCTGCAGAATTTTTCCAATAATCATCTCTTTTCGTGTTACGACATGGGACCAACGGCGTCCAGTGGCGAGCACGCTAACCACTAGACCATCAAGGGCAATACTGTGTAAATTCATTCCCTTTTAATGTCAAATTCCTGTAATTGGCTTGTGTATGTCACAACATTTTTCTGTGTTTACATCAAATATTTGTTGTAAAAGTTCAATTTATGGGACTAAAACATCAATAAACATTAATTTTATATTCTTCTTCTTATCTGATTGTATTATTTTTTGTTTTGACGTCATACACTCTTGCAGACAATTACCGGCATTTCAGAGAATGTGCCATCTTACCCTGAAGATGGTGACATTATATTCCTCTGAAACAATGGTAATTACCTACGTGACCCTGTGGCATCACAATCCAGAAAACCATAAGTGACATCTTCAGCATCATCAGAATTCTTGATCTCGTTAGTGTACTCCTACAATTATTTATTCTATATCCTGTGTGATGTATTCATTTACAATTTATTTTCAAGCCAGTGAAATGAACAATTACAGTATTAAGAATACATACCTCTTTCTTTCCATAATCTCCTCCTGGGTTCATTGTGCCGATGAAATGAAAATTTGGATTTGCAGTCACAATAAAGGATTGATCGGTTCCTCCGCTTCCTTTCTCAGCCAGAAGCAATTTACGTTCAGGTTCTGAAAATAAAACCTGTTTATACCAAAACTGACTGGACTAAACTTCACTTCCCTTCAATAATCACATACACCAACTACAAAATTTATTCAAACACCATGCGATTCAAACAAAATGTGCACATCCATGACAGCCACGAGATGCACGTCTGCTGACATGGTAGTAAGATGACAACTCAACCTGAAAAAGAATTTTATGAACTCAAGCTCCAGAAAATCCATGACGATTGTTCAATTCGCTTTCTGAAGGAAGTTCGATAAAAATCAACGATTGAAATCAATGTGTTTTTGGTTTACATTTCATAAAAACAAATCTTTAACAAAAGATACACTTTTTTAAGATCTATTAGCACACAGCTTCAGGATCTACAAGAAACTGCACTAGTAAGTTCCCATCTCAGAAGTTAAAAAGGCCATGTTGTTTTTATTATTGATAGTAGGAAATCAGAAAGAACAGAGGTGGTGTGGTCTCTGGTAGAACAATATTCATGAAAATTCACCAACATGAAGATAGCTGTTTTCTGGGTTGTAGCATCATGTAGTGTGACAGCCCACTCTGAGTTCGATTCTCGAGCAGGCAGACCGGAGATGGACTTAGACTGGACTTTTGGCGATTACTCCAGTTTATGTGCAAGGAAAAGGGCCTAAGTTAGTTTTGTTTCGGTAGCGCCTTCCTTAATCGGAATTTATAATCAAATTGTATTGAATTTTCCCGAGTTGACGGTTAGTATCGCTAGTTCGGGCCACATCTTGGGAGACTTGTTTGTTCCACCGGGCGACTGCCTGGCGCCAGCTACGTGACTGTATGAATGGGTGATTTTATGATCGGTGGCTCGACTTGGTGGGATGAGTAAGCTCTTCCAGATGTGTTTTAGCCGTTAGAAGACTTAGGGAAATTCACGTCACTATCCACCAATGGGTTTAAAATAAGCTATCGGCGGCAAATTTGTAAGGTTAGGGTGATGAACCACTCAGCCAATGAGAACACTCTCTTGAGATTCAAAAGTCTTGGGGGAGTCTTGCTGAACGCGGTGTGCGTCCAGCAAGGGGCTTCCAAAAACTCACTTACGCTTTAGTCTCGGCGGCGAGTAGTCCTGCACTCGGCGAGGAAAAGTACGAAATTAATAAACGTGCCTGATGAAAGTGAACGAATACACAAATTATAACTGAACGACATCCCCTCTTATTCCACTGCCTCGCAAGTTGATCCTGAAACCCCTCTTCACCAACCCGTATATTCCTTGAAGGCAAGAGTCCATGCCCTGAGCTACCAAACGAAACCCAACACAAAACCCCTTGTAACCAGCCGGGCGTCCTGATGGAGAGTTTGGAGTGAAAGGACGGTTACAGTAGTACGGTAGAAGTTTACCAGCATTTCAGAGGTCCTTGCTGCCTCCCTTAACACGGGCGATGCTATTCGCCCTGATAATGGAGGCAACCAGACTACAAGATGCTACGAACCAGAAGACGGCAATCTTCGTACTTGCCGCCGTGACCAGCTCAAATCCCACATTCATCAAGTTATTCAAATGTTATCACAGTAATATGGTAACATACAAATCCACAAACAATTATACATACCAAGAAGAGAATTCAGTCTTTCCAGTACACTGTCATCTGCAAGTGAAATTTCATCTGCAAGAAATAGATCACCCTTCTGCATTGCTTCAATTAAAGGACCGTCAATCCATTCAAATAATTTTGTACATTCCACGTCCTGAAAAGAAAACAAAGTAAGTATTCCCAATATGCAATGACCACAAGTTCAAGCCAAATATTTTAGAGGTCATTTTCTCGACTAACGGTACAATGAAAATGTCCTATGACTAAAGCCGACAAGTGCTTCTGGTCCAAATAAAATGTTTCTGAATCTCAGAACTGTCATAATTTTAGTGACAGCGGACAAATCTTGAATTGCAGTGCCACAGACATGGAAAGTATGTTCCTGGTATAACAGAGAGGTACTTTTTTTACAACACTCCCCACATACATTGTCTTTCTCTCATGATTAGTCTCCTTAAATAGATTAATACTTTGCTAATTTTTTAATATGAGGAGAAATAGTTCACTATATTAGTATGTTTCAGGGACCATCTCTGTCTCCATCATCAGGGTTCTGAACCCCGATAACCCTGATGATGGGGATCGAACACGAGCCACCTGCTTGAAAAATAAAAAAATTACCTCTACACAACACAAATATATTTTCCATATCCCTAGCAATGAAAGTCTAGATTCACGTGCTGTCACTAAAAGTTCAACATTGCCACATTTCTCAGAAACAGAAGTGCAAATGGCATTTCATAACAAGACCCTTCTGTCTTGTAATATTTAGTAATTTAAAAAAAAAAACTCTAAAATCTTTGGCATGAGTTTCCAAACAAACCATATATAACAAATTACTTATGTAATAATTACAAGGTTCAGTATTACAAGAAAAAAACTGAAGCACTATTTTTTATTCAGTAAGAATCTATTTCGTCCCGCACCTATGGGAGGGTGAGTGATAGGTTATGTACGGAATTGTTGGTATAATCTGCGTTTGTGTCCCGCGCCGTAGCCGCACGGTCTGAGGCATCATGCTACGGACCGGTGATACGGAATGCGCGCTGGTTCGAGTCTCGGGGGAGAAGAAATTTTCTCATGAGATTTTTGAGCAGTGTATGGGACCGGTGCCAACCCAGCATCGTGAGGAAATTGGGGAGCTGCAATGAGTAGCGTAATCCGGTCAGGAAAGCTAGCAATGGCTGGGGGTTCGTCGTGCTGACCACACGTCACCCCATGTCTGGTTGGATGATCGTTCACCTCGGCTTAGGCATGTGAACGTGAGACCAGCAGTCAAGCTAGTCGGCTTTGGCTCTCTGGAGCTGTTACGCCACGGATTTAATTTAATTTAAAGAATCTATTTCATAAAATTCAGAATAACTTCCTAAAAAATGAGCTAAATAATAGAGGTAGATATTATTAAAAGTGAATTATCATAGATACAATAGTATGAACAGATTTAAAACTTCACAAATCCCTTCTTTTTTAATGCCCACAAACACAGCCAAAATAAAACCATATGAAATGATACAAAATCCTGCTGGATCACCACACAGTACACTTACACTGCTATGGTCTCTAACTGGACGAAGTCCTCCGAGGAAATCCGAGCTCTCGGTATGCATATGACAATTGACAGTATATAGGGACTGTTGATAGATGGATGCCAACATCTGGCACACTGTTGTCTTACCACAACCTGTCTCGCCAACGAGGAGCACTGGTTCTTTGAACTGGCAAGCTTTGCCTAAAATAAAACATGATAACACGTTTGAACGCCTTAAACAACTCTGGGTGAAACAATGACTTTATAAAAGCAAAATGTCATCATCAACTGATGAGTTCAAGTAGCCATCTGTGCCATGTCCATTCTACTCCTATTTCTATTAAAACATTTCCGTGCAGAGCGTATGCACTGCCATGAGGATGGAGACAGTAAGTTCCTATGAAATGACAGTCAATATCTACATAGTGATACATCCCAGAAGACAGACATGATCTAGAAAAGAAAATTAATGATTGTTACACCATAATGATAAGATATTGTAAGTGCGTCATATTGTGATTTATTAAATATTAAAAATATATTAAAATTGGCCGTCAATCACAATATAAGATAATTAAAAGATTAAAATATCATTTTACGTTCCTTATCGAGTACTCGATTTACATGTGGAACATTTACGACATGTTTCGGCTATATATAGCCGTCATCAGGTGTTATATTATAAACTTTTTAACTGAATTACTGATTTTTACTGATATTTAATGATTTTTAGTTTTCATTTTTCTTATCATGTACAATATGAAGGACGAGAACATGATAAGAAAAATGAAAACTAAAAATCATTAAATATCAGTAAAAATCAGTAATTCAGTTAAAAAGTTTATAAAATAACACCTGATGACGGCTATATATAGCCGAAACATGTCGTAAATGTTCCACATGTAAATCGAGTACTCGATAAGGAACGTAAAATGATATTTTAATCTTTTAATTATCTTATATTGTGATTGACGGCCAATTTTAATATATTTTTAATACCATAATGATAGTTGATTGTGTTACCAACATGTATACTCTGTACAGTGGCATTAATATAACTTACCAACCAGAACAACCAGGCGTCTCATGTTGTATGTCCACACAATATGTTTAAAACCGGGAACTGTACTTTTCAGAACCTTCTCCAAGATGGGACGAGTCACTGAAGAAGTCTCTGAGCTCACTGGAAATAATAAAAATCAGTGATCATGAACTATCTGTTCGGTGCATGCCTATAATGACGGAGATTTGAAAGAATTAAAGATTACCGTCTTCTGGGTTGTTGCACTGTGAAGTCTGGTCGATGTTAACCAACGCGATGATCGCCCTGATAACGGAGGCAGTATGACCTCTGAAACGTTGGTTAACATCGACCAGACTACACAGCGCAACAACCCAGAAGACGGAAATCTTCATACTCACCGCTGCGAAAACCTCAAGTCTTACATTTGAAAGAATTCATTGGTATTAATTAAATACAGGTGACAGCTGTCTTTAAAAATCTGTTTCTTCCCTCGGTGTACTCAGTGTCCTGCTCAATCAATGCCAATAAATATTTTATAATATATATGTTTTGCTAAAGACTCTGTAATACAAATGTCAGACTCGTGATACTAATAATTAAATTTGACTCTCAACAAACACTCTTGTTACCTGGATTTTCATATACCCATGTTTTATTTCAGAATCATGAAGAGCATCAAATGTCTTATCGACAGCCATGAAAGAAGCTTCCATGCATGCGCAGTGAGTCACATACAGTAACATTTGTAAATTATCTAAGTATGTTAGCAAAATAAAGTAAGCATTTGTAGACGGTTTTCCGAACTGGAAACGCATATCAAGATTATTAAGTGAACATGAAACTTGTTCCTGATGGCAACAATTATTGAAACACGCGGTTGCAAGTGTGAACTGTTAAATATAGTGTTTTAAGGTTTTAACACAAATATTTTAATAAATTAATAGTTTTATTGTCTCATCTCCAGGTTTTGTTTGTATCAATTTCTGTTGTAATAATTTTCACAATTTATGTATACATATCTAAAAAATCAACACGTGACGTGAGATAAACAAGACCATCACTGCGTTTTGAAATCCATGATAATTCCTCCTTTGCCCTTCTCAGGAAGGGCAAAACAAGACAAAATCCATACACAAGATTAAATACTACCTTAACAATCAGAATTTATTAAGGACTCACAAGTGAACAGTTTCTGGGGATCAACAGTTCTATTAATATGTTTCTTGATGACTTCTTGAATAACACGACATTCTTCCTGCTTCCGTACTCGACCTGCCAGTACCAAGTAACCTTCATCTGCAATATGTTGATCCCAGTCATAATAAGTTCCTTCCTTTTCACCAGCCAGCCGGTATCTCTCTCCCCATCGAAACAGATCACGAAGCGTTATGAAACCCTGTTTACCAGCAAACGCTGCACTACCTCTGCGACGCAACTGTTAAATACAGAAGTTACAATCACATTAACCACAAAAAAAATATGGTACACAGTACGGTAAACCCTCATTCAACACAAAGGACATATTCCTTAAAAACAGTGTGTTCAGTAAATCTGCAATGCATAAAATTAATATTGTATGCAATTAAGTGAGAGAGAGAAATATGGTTGTGAAAAGTCAAAGTAAATAAACAAAAAAATCATATATTATATTATATTTATTTATGAACTGTGTAATACAAACTTTGGAAATTAAACATTAAAGTAAAATATTGGGATCGACCCGTTCTTCAAGTGCCTGAGCACTGTGGGTCCCAACTTTTCGTTGGCTCGATCTATAGACATTCGGTAGGACTCCTTGGACGAGGGATCGGCCCGTCCCAAGGCCTCTACCTTAACACAGGACAGCACAACACAGAAAAACGCGGACAAACATCCATGGCTTGAGTGGGATTCGAACCCACGGTCTCAGTGACCAAGCGGCACAAGGCCCACGCCCCAGACCGCGCGGCCACTGTGGACCCCTTAAAGTAAAATATCAATGCAAATTTAGACTATAAAATAATATATCAACTAAATATTATACCAACTGCTGCTTTTTAACCAGCAGTTTTATATATCGCATGCTACTACAGTGAGTTTGCCAGACCACGTATAATTTAACTTCTTGCATTCGGCAAATAATGATTCATATTATTTATACGCATACAATCAAATCTGCATTTTACAAACCTGAGGGTTTAATGTAAACCAGTAACTATATAAACTGATAATACACATACCCACAGTTAAGCTATATAACTCTGTACTGAATTGGAAGAGATTTTCGCACAATACAAAAAACAGTAACTCCTATACCAAAAACCATAACCCAATGGCATGTGCACATGGTAAACTTTCAGAATAAAATCTCAACATGTGTTTCAGTCTACAAATTATCAGAGTACATAATATACACATCCTGTTTTGCTTGGGAAACTTATCCAAATTACTTAAAAATTCTACGGATCGATCAATTTTACAAAATGTCTGGCGGAATTATTGTTATCCAACTCACCTGTAAATCTGTCATAACACAAACCATTTTCTTACAATAAGAAAGAGGCATGTCACATCTCTTATGAAGAATAATCTCCAGCTCATTTGCAGGGATTTCATCAAAGTGCAACTCCACAAACCGATTACGAAATGCACGAGACAACATCTGGAAATGATACAATCCATTACAGAGATCGTGAAAAGTCAGATTCTTCTCACCACAGACAGTTGCGTAGCTGTATTCCCACATTTGAATATATGACAGAAAAGCAAGATGACAATTTGATAATTCTTCATACAGAAATCAAGTTTCGCATACCTTCCTACCGCCATAGAGCCCTGGTGGATTTTGGGTGGCAAAGAGCATGAAATGCGGGTGAGCCTTGACAGTTTCCTGCGTTTCAGCTATAAACAGTTCTCTATTGTCATCAAGAACTCTGTTTAGCGCTTCCAGCACATCAGTTGGAGCCAAGTTCAACTCATCCAAAATAATCCAATGACCCCTTCGCATTGCCTCAACTAATACACCTGTAATTACAACTATGTATCAACTTCCAATACTAAGGTGACAAACAAAGAGGAAATAATGGGAAGCTAAAGACATAGGCAGTTCTAAAACATACTTCCTACATTTTATAATTCCAGTTATACAGCGTGTTTCAAAAGTAGCTTTACAACTTGAGGGCGAGATATTGGTGAACTGATAGGAGAGACATATAATTTCAGAACATAGAAATGTAGTCAAACACTTCAAAGTTTATGTCCATTGGATTTTTATGGTTCAATGTGACTTCCATTTGTTATGCGGCAGACGTCCCATCTGTAGTCAACATCTTGCCACACGCGGTATAGCATCTCCGGTGTCACTTCAGCAACTGCGGCGGTAATTCGAGTTCGGAGTTCGGCCACATTTGCAGGTGAGGGTGGCACGTACACTCGATCTTTAACAAATCCCCACAAGAAGAAATCTAAAGGTGTTAGATCCGGGGAACAAGGTGGACGTGCTATTGGTGCGACCCGACCAATCCACCGACCTGGGAAACGGTTGTTGAGGTACTCGCGCACTTCTCCGAGTTAATGAGGGGGTGGACCGTCTTGCTGGAAGTGAATGCGTCCTTCCTGGTCATCTTCGTCAAGTTGAGGAATGAGGAACTGTTGGAGCACGTCCAGATACACAATGCCGGTAATGGTCTCCATGAAAAAGAAGGGGCTGGGAGAGCTCGCGGTGGCGGTTTTCGGTACTACAGTTTAAGTGCATGAAACTTGATGTGTTTGGCTAAATTTGTGCATTTAAAAATATTGCGCACGTCCTTTAAATAAATTTATATTCTCCTGCGAAGTTGTAAATCTACTTTTGAAACAAGGTGTATGTAGGAACCAGGAAAATAAAAAACTGAAGTATGTGAGTGATTAGGGCATGGTTGCAAATACACAAACTTTCTTCATAACCGTTTATAAATAAAAACAGTCAAGACCATTACTACTTCACTAACAGTAAAGTAAGAAGTAATATATGGAAATCATTACACACGTGAATACAAAAAGGGTAGAAAATATGAATTAAACATTGAAGCCAATTTTCTTCAGTTGATGAAAGATTACTTCACTGTTTAAACTGAACAAACACTAAAAATTGGAAATTTCTAAATTAACAAAGTTTTTAATCCAACACTAGTAATTACTAAATATTTTTCGCAGAAACTTACCTTCTCTGAACACAAGATGGCCCTGTTCATCAGCAGAATACAATCCAATATACTCCTGAAGGTCAGTGTGCTCATGATTATTAATTCTAACACAGTGATTTCCTGAAGCTTTGGCAAGATATGTAATGAGACTTGTTTTACCCACAGATGTCTCCCCTTGTAAAAGCACAGGATGATGGCCAATGGATACAATTCGAACCAAGTCACAAAGATTGCGTCTAACAGATGGTGTTAGTATGTACTGCAAATGAAAAGAAACATACTTATTATGCTAGAAAAAGGGCTTACTACAAATTATACCTGACAAAAGAATTTCTTACTAAGTGGAAACGTAGCACAACTCAAAATTTCTTCTCCAGTTGAAGAACAGCAATGCATGGAGTTCCCCCAGTGATAAATTTTAGGGCCCCTATTTTTCATAACTTACATGAAAACCTTCCTTAAACAATAAGAACCTGATCAGAACCCATAACATTTGCTGACACAAGTGTCATAATTTCTAACAAAAATTTTGATGATTTCTGTACATCGGAAAATTCATCTCTTGATATGAGTAAATGGGGTCCGCCGTGGCCGCGCGGTCTGAGGCGTATGCCTTGTGCCGCTTGGTCGCTGGGACCGTGGGTTCAAATTCCACTCAAGCCACGGATGTTTGTCCGCGTTTACTTTCACTCTTTTCACATACATATTTGACCAAAATCACAAAATTAGCTTAACCTTTGCATCAACGTTCGGTTCCAGGTTTCCTTGTGGTACCCAGTAGCCTTCGAAGCATACGTACTGATGTGCATCTGTAGAGCAAGGGGGTGGTATTGGCTGCTTCAATATACTCCTCACATCTGTCGATCCTACGACAGCTCTAGAAATGCAAAACATTTATGTATACATAAAATAAAAATATAATTACAAACCTAAATCAGTAATGTAATTATATGAGAAAATCAGGCATATCTGAACCACAGATGAAAGCTGTACTTACTTTGCTACCATCTGTACAACCACAGGATGTGAAGAGTAATCAAGCTGCGTAAGGAAACTGAGACACAGAGCTTCGTACAGGGAACGTGGAACAGAACCACACTTGTTATGGGCAGCCACACTGAGCGCTCGGCACAAAGTACGCAAACTGAAACGAGACATACCAATTCTAACATAGGACAAAACACGTAAGAGAAACTATTCAGTGAAAAATACAGATTACGAACTGAAAAAGGTTTAAGAGAAAATACAAAATTATTTGAAAAATACAGATTACGAACTGAAAAATGTTTAAGAGGAAATACAAAATTATAAAAACAGGTGTCCGGTCTAGATTCTAACTTTAACTCTTTAATGCTTCTGTTCTTAGAATTCTTTGTCGGGTCTAGATTCTAACTTTAACTCTTTAACGCTTCTGTTCTTAGAATTCTTTGTCAGTGCACTTTGTTATTTACCGGAGTCAGCGTCTATCTGTGAATGGAAAGGATCCACAGATGAAAAATGGCCTAATCCATGCAGATTTATATGAAAATATCAGAAAATCACCTATTCAATAGGCTTGACACATATCCCTTATCCAACACAATTCGTAAAGTTGTCTAAATAGGGACAACTGACAGTTCAAAAAAAAGTTTCCATCAGTTCACTGGTGACAAACCTGGCAAATGAGATTGGGGCACCCCATATAAACAGGAGCTCTACTTCATACAGAATTTTCATGTATTCCTACATTTTTCAAACAATGACAGTGCTGTTGACATAAAAGTCTCATACTATGACAGACTACGGACTTTGACATCATGCGATGCCAAAACAGAACACATGTGAAATGTGACTGAAAATGCTGGACGTTTACATCATTTCCATTGTACCATTGGTAGGCCAGCTGTCATAGAGCAAAAAATTACTTGAGATAAATTTCAGTAATCATTAGCTAATTCATTCCTGTAGAGCGAATGGGTCTCTAATAAGATAAAGGTTAAAATGACATTGAAAAATACAATGAAAATAAGCATTACATACCTGTAGTGTGGCTTATGTCCAGTGCCATCTGTCAACCTCTCAGTTGCTTCCTTTCTTACACTCAGATAAAACTTAACAAGATTCCCAAGCTTCTCGACAGGTAGAGACAAATGCCGCAGGTAAGTTCCAACCAGCAATGTTAAATCAGACTTCTCGGTCAGCTCATCCACGAAGAATTCCGTGAACCTAATTGGCACGGAAATACATTATCTTAATACTGTACTACACGTCACATTGCCCAACTTCTTTGCATAATTTGTTTAGATTAAAACAAGCGTGGGATATTTCTGTGACTTCCTCCTTGTAATATGAAAGTGGTCGTGTAGAAATAAACAAATTTCAGCGATAATGTTATTTTAAAATATTTACTTACTTTTCTAATAACAGAACTGAGCTGTGTAATTATTATATTTACTTGTGTAAATCTACAGTGCACAAGAATACCAATAACTAACCCATGCGCTACATGGCAGTGCCCGCATATTCGTAAACCATCTTCGATCTGCGTATTTCCACATCACTAGAGGCGGCAATTTTTCACACAGTACAACAATACAGCAATGATTAACATTTTACGCTGCAGAGATGGTACAAGTACAGAGAATTTCTTGACAAGACTGCCTAATCTGAGATAGGTAAGAGAGTTTATTGACACATTTTCAGATCAAGTTCTAACTGCACTCTAATACATAAAAACCAGTCGCATTACTTACTTTTCCAGTTGTCTATTTTATAATCGTATCACCTATACTTATATCTACAAAGTCTTTACATGCCATAACTTTTAAATTTATCATAAGTATATAAGTAGAAATCAAATATACCTGTTTCTCAAACCAGCTGGTAAATCTTTCTTGCCAACATCAGTTGCAGGATTCATGCAAGCAAACAGACGGAAGTCTCGATGCCTTTTAATTGGTTCCTGATCTCCCCTCTCCAACAAGTAAAGAGAACCAGCCGAGCCATCTAACAATCCCGACAAACATTCCAATGTCTCGGCAGAAGCCAAGTTTATTTCATCCAGTAAAACCCAGTAACCTGTGGACAAAGAACAAGTTAAATATGTTTGCCAAATTTGCATACATCCGCCAAACTAACATTTCCATTTCACATATAGAACCCTGATTTTTAGTTAGTTAGTGGGCTAGCTTGAAATTAATCCTAGTTTCTCATTTCTGATTTTGTTATTGTGGTATTACAGCTTTAGTCATCAAGTTCTGTACACTCCAGTGACAGATGTAAAATTCTCTAACCAAGCAACCATAAAAACTAATTAATATAAAAAAAAATCATAATTCATCGCCCTGATGACGGAGGCAGTATGACCTCTGAAACGTTGGTGGACATCGACCAGACTACACAGCGCAACAACCCAGAAGACAGAAATCTTCATACTCATCGCCCTGATGACGGAGGCAGTATGACCTCTGAAACGTTGGT